ATCCACTTTGGTCTTCTCTTCTTTTCTTGTCTTTTTAGTGATCTCTTGCTTTCTTCATGGATAATGTTCTTGATATCTTCCCATAATTCATCTAATTAATATTCTGTAAAGTTGGCATATGGGCAGCATCTGACCTCCTCTAACTTTACAAGGGCAGAGGAGGATCAAGATCAAAACCAATAACCCAAAGCTGATTCCTATGGGCCAGAGGTCAGACATGCCTCCATTCTCCAACCTTCAATCAGGACAGCCTCCCCTCAGTCATGCCCAAAGGTAAGACTCTGGCCCTCGACTTCTAGACCTGGCCTCTGCCCTGCTTGGGCAAGTGTTACTAAGCTCTTTTAGTTCAACTGATAAATGTCTCGGGACACCCACTCCACCAGCAAGCCTCCAAAGGCACTCAGCTTTCTCATTCAGTGGGCTGAGAAGTTCTGTTGCCTCTGCTGCCACCATTTCTCTGGTGCTTCTCACCATCTCTTGCTATATCTGGTGTCACAGCTGTCTGTCTCTTGAATCAAAGAGGTTCAATGGAGGGATCTTGGGTCCAGAGAACAAGCTCCTTGCCTGGCTCATCTTTCTTGATGGTAGTGAGATTCCCCCCTTTCACCTCTGGGATGGCTCATTTTAAGCCTAGGGAGATGACAAAATTGACCAATTCCCACGTTAGGATTTCATACACATTATTTAAATTATCTCACCCTCATAAGGGTGCCATATGCCTTCCTTATTTACATTATTAAAAAGCTATCCATTCCCCTTGTTGGCCCATAAGCACCTCATATTTGCATAGTCCTACCAGCCTCGGAAACCCAAGGAGGGATCACTATGAGTCGGGTCTGACTCGATGGCACATAACAACAACCAATCATCTGGTGGTAGTCACAAAGACCATGGCTGGAAGTGCCATATCAAGCAATTCACTGCATTTCATATTCTGTACACTAACCTGTCCCAATGCTTCCCAAAGAACCTAATGTCTGACAGAAACCTCTCTGTGCCTTAGTGGGGCTGTTGTGAGCATTGCCAGGCACATAGTAAGCATTCAATAAGTGTTAATCCTTTCTCCTCACTGTGCCTCTGAGACCAGGTAGATTGGGTGACCAGAAGTACAAATTACTATTTGTCTTGCCTGACTTGCCCAAGACCATATAACAAGTTAAGACCAAAGCCTTTACTAGAGCCTATGCCTTTCAGTTTGGGAATTGCCCAGTCTGGGGCTCTCTTTACATTCTTGACACAATTGTATGCCTGCTTTGTGTAAGAATAAGCTCTTACACAGAAGGTAGGCTCTCACTACACAGGGGAAAACAAAACAAAAACCAAACCCACTGCCATCAAGTCAATTCTGACACACAGCAACACTATAGGACAAAGTAGAACTGTCTTAGAGGGTTTCCAAGACTGAGTCTTTACAGGAGCATACTACCACATCTTTTTTCCCACAGAGTGGCTGCTGGGTTGGAACTGCCAACCTTTTGTTTAGCAGCCCAATGTTTTAACCACAGTGCCACCTGCACTCCCTCCCAG